TATTTTGTTTACATATCGCTTATTAACTTAACTTGGTATTTTATCTTGTTAAATTTTAAATAAAAATTTTGCAGGTAACAACATAATCACTTCTTGTTTATCCTCTCTTATTTTCTACTCTCTATTGTTTTATGTCATTTCTTTTTCTTATTGTTTATTTATTTTGTTTTTATTATATTATGATATGATTATGCTGATATTAATCTCTCCAAAGAAATAAACAATAAAAAATTATATTGACATTGATTATTTCCTTTTTATTTCTTTTATTATCTTTCTTTAATAATAATTATATAATAATTATTATTTCATTCTTGATTTATTTTTCATTAAATTATTTCTTCCTATTTTTAATTCTTCGATATTCATTATTATTTTTATTAAATTGTGTTATTTTCCTGATTTTATTCAACTACTCTTGATGTACTCATGTTGGTTAAAGTACTTCAATATAAATTTATTTTTTATTTCTTTCTTTACAGTTATTATCTTATCCTTCTAGATATTGTTCCTCCTCCTTCTGTTTCTATTATTCTTTCTATTACTCTGTTCATTTATTTTCTTATTTCTTGTTTACTCTTTTGTCTATTTTCTTCTTTTTATCACTCTATTCTCCATTTTTATATATTTTTATCTTGTTATTGGTCCATCTATTCAGTCTTTATGTTTTATACATTAGTGTTCTGTTATTTTATTTCTTATTACTCTAATATATCTTTCTGTATTATCTTTCTATACTATTTTACATACACCCAACCATTTCCTTTTTTCTTTATTAACTTTTTCTATTTGTATTTATTTAATTTGATTCTTTTTCTTCCTTTTTTCTTTACTTTTACTTTCTGTATTCTTGTGTTTTTGTTTCTTTATTTTCTTCTTTTTATTCTTCTTGTATCTGTTCTTTCTTTTTCTTACAACTTCAACTTTCTACTTCTTCATTATTTCTTTCCTCCTTTTTATTCTTTCTCTTCTTTATTTATTTACCCTTTTCAACGCCTTTTTATATTCTTTATTAATCTTACTTCATTTTACAATTTCTACTTTTATTTCTTCTTTTCTCTACTAATTTAGTATTTCTATTCTTCTTATATTGAATTCTTCTATTTTCTTTATTCAATTCTACAAACTTTGTATTTTAATGCTATTTCATTCACCAATCTTTTGATTTCTTTAATTGATGGTTTTTCTGTTCTTTTTATGTCTTAATACTCTTCATCTTTTATTTTTGTTTGTTTTCTAATTTTTTTGATTTAAAATAAACAACTAGAATTTATTTTAATAACCTGATTGATTAGATATGAT